CAAAACATTAAAATGCCCCTTGACTTCCTCCTCAACACAGGAACCTTTGGTTGACTTTCCGAAACACGCCATGAGAATAAGCACGCCACGCACATTGTCCCGTGAGATTCTACAGGCAATTCTCCACACACAGTGCACGCATTCAACATGCACAACACATTCCGCCGGAAAACCAATCTCCTGTTGTAGGCATCCCGTCGGGGTCACCAGTTGTTGCGGGCTCGGGCACGTGGTATAAAAGAACGCCGGGCCCGCCGACTTCAAGCTGCCCATTTAAGCCACTCTGATTCCTGGGAAGATAAGCTGAAGACCAGAGACACGATCGCTTATAAGAGAACTCAATACGATCTGGGTGAACCTGTGCTAGTACAAATAGTGCGACTGTCACGTGAATGGAATAGAAGGGTAGCGTGGGAGTAGAGCACACACCACAATCAACGCGATTCACTACATCCTAACAAAGACAACAATCTCACTCCGCACGCTACACTCATGCCTCCGACTAAAAATTAAACCGGCGCACATTCGCTTGGTGCTTTTTACAGTCGTACATATTCAGGAAGAATAAATTCTGCATTCTAATACTAAGGATTTAGGTGTTCGGCGACGCCACCCAAGTTAGGAAAGAACATTTGGGACTAAGCAAATGCATTCTTCGTGATTTCAACTTGTATAAAAGGCATAACAATAAGATATGTACAAAGAACAAGTAGGAGTGTCCACAACAGAACAGCTGGGAGACTGGGGGTTCGGGAGACACGGTGTGGCGGCATGCGCATCACTGCAGGAAATGGATGAACCTGCAGACAAGATGCAGATCCACAGGCTTCACCGTGACGCGTTTCGCGTGGGCAGCCGCCAACGCCGCGTACGAGAAGAGGTCTACAAGGAAGGCCTCGGCGGCCTCCTGAAGGCAGTCAAGCGCCAACGCCTGCCAGCGTAGGGTCAGCGCCGACTCGATGCGCGTCCGCTGGGCTATAGACCGCACCGCACGTGCGAAGGAGGCTCGTCTACAAGAAAAGGGCCGGCGAGGCTTGAGCGCCCTGGCATTTCACTCAACTAATTAACGCGTGATGTGTGCGACTTGATAGGGGGGAAATGTGGCGTCTAGAATAGCCAGTAATTGCCCATTTACCGGCGCTAATCATGCCACCCACCATTCCTTAAGCTAATGTAATCGCGACGCTAATCAAAAACGACGTCTTGCATGCAAATGCAATTCCACCTGGCGCAGACATCCCAGAAAGTCAACTTAATCAATACGCGCTGAACAAGAGCCTTGGCGTGGGATGAAAATCCAAACTATGCTTGCCTGTCCGCCCCATAACATGCCTTCACAAAACTGGGCTTTTCCAAACTCACATTACAGCATTCAATACAGATTGTTCAGTTCATTTCATCAACCGGTTTGCCGGTCAATTATTTCACACATGAACCAAGACAACTGACATTCGGTCTTAACTCAGAAGATTGTTGTCATCACCCGTTCTCGCGGTGTCGACCTACTCACAAGGAAATGGTGGTCCATATAAAAACACGGAATGCAATAACAGGATGCAGCAGCGTCTATGTTAACACCAGAATTTAAGCTTGGATTGATTGCTTTTGGGGACAATTGGGATGGTTAAAGGACAAAATTGGGGAAAAACGGTATTCTTCAAGCAGAAAAAAGGCATACCGTAATAGCAGATTTGTTGTCCTCTGCAGAACACGGATTTCCATCTGCACCCGATTCTTCCTCTTCTTTCGCACTACAACAGGCACTGGCCTGTCGTTATTTGTGTTTGAGTTTGTGGCGTTTGGCACGCCCGCGGGCCCGGCAGTCTCCGCAATTCGAACAAGGCGATCTGAATAACGGTATGTGAATTCCTTGTCCTCGTCTACATAATAATACGACACGATAACAAGAAGCAATTAGCGCTAATGAAATAAACAACAACACAAACAACACCAACTAGGCCAAGACTGTGTAACTGACAAAAAATCAGGATGATTACCTCACACAGCACTACCAATAGGACGAAATATAAAATGGGGAATCGTGCATACACCACACGCCAAATTGCACACAATGTTGACCAATCGACATACGATAACATGTATCCAAGTAATCAAGACATTCATTTACACATAGAACGGAGCGCATTCATAACGACAAAATCAAACAATTAGCTGATTATTTGCTTAATTAAAAGTGAGCAAACCTGTTCGACGTTTGGGTGGATGGGCGTGCTTTCTTACAGACCGAGCGGACGCGA